CACGCACAGAGCAGGCCCAGCGGCCTGCTGAGGGGCAGAGCCGCCCCACACGCCCCGCGCCTGCCAGGTAGGGGAACTGTGACCACCGACAGAAAAATATATTTTTAAAAAGCTACTAAACCAACAATTGCACTCTCAACCCAACAAACAGCAACAAAAACTTCACTAGAATCCCTTTAGTTTCCAAGTGAGAATCTGATTGCCAGGATTACTACATTATAATATTCAATAGATCTGTTGTTTGATAAAGTTTTAAGAGTTGCTAGAAAGAAACAAAAGTATTGCCCATTCATAGGGAAAAAACAAATTAGTAGAAACTCTTCATAATAATGGTCTTAAACAGTTTCTACTAATTTGATTGGTAAAATAGGCTTTAAAAATACATGATCCAAATTAATGTTGTTTTCACTAGACTCCCTTTTGATTCAAAGTGAGAAAATTAAATGGATAGAAACATATATGCCATGAAAATAGTAACCAAAATAGTTGGTGTGTTTTTACTAAGGACAAATGAGTCTTTTAAGTCAAATATTGTTACAAAATGGAAACTTCAATATCCCATTTTCTATTTCCTTTTGTTTTTTTGGTACTAGAGATTGAGCCCAGAAGCACTTTACCACGAGCTACACCCCAATCCCTTTATTATTATTTATTTTTTTAGCAGAGTCTAAGTTGCTTAGGGCTTTGCTAAGTTGGTGATACTGGCCTCAATTTGTGATCCTCCTGCTTCAGCCTCCCTAGCCACTGGGATTACAGGTGTGTGCCACAACACCCGTCTTCCATTTTCTATAAAGAATAGAAAAAACTAGACAGATCAATAAGAAACAGAGACTTGAACAACATTATAAATCAAGCATACCTAAAGATATATGTAGAACACTCTATCCAATAATTAGAGAATAGTCATTTTCCTCAAATCATACACATTATTGTCAGAAGACACATCATTCTTCAGTTCAGAACATATATTAGGCCACAGAACATGACTGAATAAATTCAAAAACTTTGAAATAATAAAAATACATTCTCTAACTACAATGGAATAAATTAGAAATCAGTAACAAAACTGGAAAATTCAAATATGTGAAAATTAAACAATACATTGTTAAACAACTATTGGATCAAAGAATATGTTGTGAGGGAATCCAAAAATACTTTTAGATGAATGAAAATAAAAATACAACATACCAAAACATGGGATTCAGAGAAAGCAGTGCTAAAAGGGATATTTATTGCTATACATGAAATTAATAGTTTTCAAATTTAATTTTTACTTGCACTTCAAATCAATAACATTACACATTAACAATAGAGAAATAGATGAGCAAATAAAACCCAAAACTAGAAAATGAAAGAAATAATAAATATTAGAACAAAGATACATGAAATAATGAATAGAAAAACTGTAGATCAATAAAACCAAAGTTGGGTCTTTGAAAAGATCGACATAAGATACAAATCTTTAAGCTAAAATGATTTTTAAAAGGAGAAACAGAAGTCAACCAAAAATTAAACTGGGGATATTATTCCTTATCATACAGAAATAAAGATGAGAAGAGGATACTATGAATAATTTTATGCCAAAATTAAACAGATGAAATAAATAAATTTCTAGAAAAACATAACTGCCGAAAAGTGATCTAAGAAGAAATAAGAAATCTGAACAGATCTAGAAGTAGAGGCATTAATTAGGAAACAAAAACATCCCAAGAAACAAATTCACTGGTGAATTCTAAGAAATATTTAAAGAATAAATTTTAAGGCTTTAATTTTAAAACTCCCTAATTCATTCTACAAGACTAGCGTTATTCTGACACTAAAGCTAAAGAAATCACAAGAAAACAAAACTTCAGATCAATGTTCTTTATGAATATACATGCAAAAATTCTCAACAGTATACTAGGCAACCAAATGGAGCACCATATTAAGAGGATTATACACCACGAGTAAGTGATATTTACCCCAGGAAAGCAAAGGCAGTTCAGCACAATGAAAATCAAACAATATAACATACCACATTAATAGCAATAAGAGGAAAACACATAATCATCTCAATTGGTACAGGACAAATATCTGACATACTCTAGCATCCTTTCTTCATGAAAGCACTCAACAAACTAAGTACAGAAGGGGATGTGCTAAACATGGAGAGGGTGTTTGTGAAAAACCTAGAGTTAACTTCACTCAACGGAGAAACACTAAAGGTTAGGAATAGGACAAGGATACCTGCTTATACTACTTTTATGCAACACTACATTGGAAGTTCTAGCCAGAATAATTAGTTAAGAAAAGGAAATACATCCAAATTTCAAAGAAAGTAAATCCATCTCTATTCAGAAATGATAAAAATTTTATATACTATAAAATACTAAATAACCTCCAAAATAAGTTATTATAGCTAATAAATGTATTCTCCTCCTCTCAGTTTGTGAGCACTTCAGCCTGTTGAGGCTTTGGAAAAATATAGCACATACTACCAGCACTATTTCTTTCATTTTTTTCTTTGTTGTAGAAAAGGATGGGAAAGGAAAAATAGAAGATACATGGAAAGACTAAAGAAATAAAACAATCTGCATCCCTGACTGGTTACATTCTTATACGTCAATTATTATTTCTCTTTTATTTTCCCCAAGCACATGCTATGGTTTGAATAAGTGCTCCCTCAAACGTCCATGTCTTAGAAGCTTGATGCCCAGGGTGGTATTGTGAGGCTGTGGAACTTTTAGGAGGTGGGGCCTAGTGAGATATCTGTAGGTTATTGGATATATAGTCTAGAAGGGGATTATGGGACCCTGGTTTCTTCTTTCTCTTTCATTGCTCTGCTTCCTGGTTTATGTGGTGAGCAGTTTGCTCTGCCTTGATGTACTGCCCTCTCCAGAGAACCAAAGCAATGTGGCACTTGATTTTGGACTAAAACATCCAGAACCATGAATCAATATAAACCTTTTATCTTTACAAGTTAATTGCTTCAGGTATGTCATTATAGAAATAAGAAGCTAATTAATACAGCAACTAATAGCATAGACCAAAAAAACAAACAGGATTGAGCTCTTATAAGAGGTGGCAAAGAATAAATCATATTGGGACAGATTGTCCTATTCCATAGCCAGGCTTGTGAAAATGATGGCAGCTATCTAAGGACAGGCAAGGCAGCTAAGACCCCAGGGCCTGCTAAAATAATAGAGGGAACTTAAAAACTTACTGAATGTTGTAGGGCACAGTACTAGGATTGAGCACTCCATATACAGTGAAACCTTTATAGAGGGGATTCCTGAAGTCTGGTTTCCTCTGAACCAAGAAAGGCCACACAGAATGTGTTTTCTCATAGACTCTGTTAGAAAAGAAAAACAAGCCAAAAAATTACAAACAATAAGCAAGTAATCTCAACAGTACTGCTGAACTTTATATTTAGTCAAATATTACTAATAAGTAGCCCAACTCAAGAAAGAAGGAAAACTGAAATAAGTGGCTAATGAATGTTGGTAGAGGAACAGATTTCTGGGCTCCAATTTATCCATCTTTAAAATGAATAAAATGTTAGTAAGAGTTCCAAATTAGATAGCAAGAGTTCTAAGTCCAGTGTTTGCTGTGGATGTGGCTACATGATCTTAGAAAATTTCCTAGCTGTTTCTGGGCCTGTTTCCTTGTCTGTTCAATGTTGCCTCTAACATGTCTTCCAAATCTAGGATTCTATGAAATGATGACCTTTCCAGTTTTAAAAATATTGGATTTGGGGTTGGATATAACTCAGTTGGTAGAGTGCTTGCCTAGCATGCACAAGACCCTGGGTTCAATCCCCAGCACCACAAAAAATATTGGATTTTTTAAAACGTCTTGTATTTTAAGAAATGGAAATCCTAGATGGAATATTTATGGTTCGCCCATGTTTCCAGTTTCTTCTCCCTTCAGAAGGTTAAAGACAGTGAAAGACAATTGGCAGTTTATACTAGCAAATATTTTTGAGTTATCCCAGGTAGGTAAACAAAGATTGTGGTATTTATATGGCAAGACTGATTCTTCTACTTTAATTAGGACTGCAAGTAACTTGATCAACCAATAAGGAAGTTCCTTATTTAACACTTCAAAATACATGGGATCCACTGGTCCCAATGAGATCTGTATGTAACCATACATGGAAAGGTCATTTGTACACACTGTGTTGAAGAAAGCTGGAGGAGGAGAATGAAGAAGAGTACTATAGGTGGTAGTACCTAAAATTGTGGTCCTGTAACTTTTACAACCCACAGACCATTTCAGTCAGGCTAAAGGCCCTTTATATCCATCTTCCTTATCTGTCACTGGTTAAAAACAACAACAAATCTTCCAGAGGTAAGGTAACTAATATTTATTATTACCTATGTGTCAAATTACTGTTCCAGATTATTTATCCAAAATACTTCCTTAAATCTTTATAATAAAATCCTGTGAGGTGTTTAGTTCTAAATTACTAATATAAGATAAAAAATTAATTAGCCTAAGCTCACATAGCTAATAGGTGACAGATTCAAAGTTTGTATTTTGGACTACCTTATTCTAACTAAGGCTTATGCTTTTCCTTTCATGAGTGAATGACAGTTCTGCTTATTTTAAGCAATCAGTATTTTAACATATATTAAAATGTTCAACTTTTCTACTTTAACATTGAGATTCAGAATTGTGTGGGAAATGGGTCCAGATATATTAATCTCATTTTAAGAAGGGAAAAAATTATGGAAAAAATGGACAGCCAGTTGGTAGAAAGAACAGGTGTAAAATCATTTGGGGAGAGAGTGAGTGACAAAGGTCTTGTGGCAAAACAGAGTGAGGAGGGAGATAGATAGGTATGTATGTATGCAAGGAAGCATCTAAGTAAATACATGTTAAAGCAGAAAGCTTCATTGCTGTTCTCTATGTTGTCAAGAAAAATAATGGAATCATGGAGAGCAGATGCCATCTAGGCTATGTCATGAAAGGGCCCAAGAACCTGAGCTGTTAACGCAGCCAATAGTTGTGAAATGTTTTCTCTGCCTCTAAAATAAGAAGAGTGATGCTCAGAGGTGCTCCACACCTTGTGAATCTCATAAACTATTTATGTTTTCTACATCATGGGGGTGTTGGTTCAAGCCAGGGTGACAAAGTTAAACTGACTACAAGAACTGGACAGATAACATTACAAGTAGGCTAGGATTGAACAATAGGGAGTGGAAGAACTGTAGCCAATGAGAATTTGTCCCATTCAAAGGCAGGAGCTGCTATTTAGCTCTAGTTAATTATTGATATAAGAGAATATAGGACCAGTGTTGACAGAGTTCCTGGTTTTTCAGAATATTTTGGTAAAACAGCTTATCTAAAAAATTTTGGTAAAACAGCTTATCTAAAAAAAATAAAAATTTTTTATTTAAAAAATTTTAAAAAATCCTAAATTAACTGGATTTGATGTTAAATTCTCTAACACTTAAACGTTGGCAACTGAATTCACATTTTAAATACTCACAGACTAAACAAACCACAACTGTTGGGCTGGGCTGGGTCTATGAGCTGTCAGTTTGTGATCTCTGATACAAGTGAAAAGGATTGTGGGTAATGACCATTCATACCTCAATGATTGATTCTTTGTTTTTAATTTTTATTGGTGCATTATAATTATACATAATAGCAGGATTCATTATGTCATATTCATATATGCACACAATTTGATAAATCTCATTTCCCAGTACCTTCCCTTCACCATCCCTGATCCTATAGCAGCCCTTGTATATTCCCTATTTTATTGGCTCCTCCTTTTTGCCCTGGAAAGTAGGCATTATGATCTCTATTTTACAGATGAGGAGTCTGAGGTTCCAAGAGATCCCTGTGCAAACATTGAGTGCTTTATGATTCAAAAGCTCTTTTCATTATTGTTATCTCCTCCCATTTCCCTGATTGCTGTCTAAAATTCAGAGTGATGAGTGCATTCTTCTCTCTATTCAGTGTTTTCTCACAAAATGAATTCACCTTAGATCTTCCCGATCCTTTTGGCAGTTTCCAAGGAAGTTTCCAAATTGGCAGGAGAAAACATGGTCATGGATCTCCAGCAGAAAGCTTTCATTAAATTCAAAGGCACAGGGAAACTGTTCCATTAATTGCCAAATACAGTCTAGGAACTGGGTGAAGATAGGGGACACTTCTTTAGAGTCCCCATCCAGGTGGCCACACCTGAGAAATGCAAATCATGGTAAAGAAAGATACTGGTTAGCATCAGGGGATTAAACTGTCTGTAGAAGGCTATAAAACGTTCACTTTGTGTCTCTGCTGGCATTGGCAAGAAAATATCTCAAGTCAAAGTGCCGTCCAGAATCTCAAAACCAGTTAATCATAGTAAGCCCCTTAGCCACTGGTGTCCTTCATTATTCTCTAGACTTTAAGACCGTTTGGTCATTTGTCTGCTTTCTCTTATACTCTCTCTCCAACAGGACTTTCTGCAATGATGGAAATTTTCTACAGTAGTAATGTCAATACTAGAGTCACTGTGATGTCATTAGTTTAACTGAGAAAATGAATTTTTAATTGTATTAAATTTAAATTAATTTAAATTTAAATTAATTTAAATTTAAACACCTATGTTTAGCTTAATGTGAGCAAGGACCACACCAAATTGTTCACTGCACAGTGCCTGGCACAAAATAGATAATGAAAATTATTAAATTTGCGAATGAAATTTCATCTCAGAACTGAGTAATGTTTTCTCCCTCATAATATCCTCTTTACCAACTCTACAATCTACAGGAAATCCTATCCCACTGGAAATCAACATGTCATCCTCAGCCTGTATGCTGAATTTTCTCTGCTTTCTGATATAACTGCAACCTGACTCACCAAGGACACCACCTCTTCTTGGGCCCCAAATCAATGATGAGTACTAATCGTTCCAATTTTCCACATACCCTAATCCTAAAACAGGGCGGAAGTGCAATCAATCTTCTCCTTGCTCATATTGCTGCTTTCAAACTACTACTCATTTCACATTATTTAAAAAAAATACATTCACACACCACTAATCCCAGTGGATCCTGGATATAAACAACTTGGTTGGTCATAAAGGCATTCACAGTGGAATACTGATTTATTTCACATTTTTAAAAAAAATTCTTCGTAGTGTCTTCCACATGTTTATCAATAAATACTTACTGGGAGTTAAAAAAATACTTCCAATATGGGTCATACTGTTTAGATTATTACCTTCCCTTTCCTCAATATTGTCTTTTACCAATATTATCTGAAGATTTTCACTCCTGTTTTACATATTTCTCTTTGGTGTTGTTGAACATGACAACACTGGCTAAACTGAAAGTTTCCTTAACTAACGGAAATATAATTATCTTCACCGATCTTCACCTCTGTTCCACATCAGCATCCTGAGTCCATGGCTGTAGTCTGGTTCTTGAAACCACCCAGAAGTTCTTACCCCACCTCTGAAATTTTAATCTAAATAAATTACTCTGGAAAACATATACATTCCCAAACATACTTTTTTTTAACCTCCTCTAGCCCTTATCAAAAAAGGTCTCTCCACCAGCCAGATCCTTATTGGCTTCCCTTTGTTCCTTATCCAACCTAGACTTCATTGTATGTCCCAACAACTATTGTCTCCCCGTTTTCTTCAATTTTTTTGGTCTTTTTGTCATTATTCATCAAAACTCAATCACATATCAGCCTAAAAAGCTAGCTTCTCTTCTCTTACATCCTGATACTTAAAGAAGCTATAAAATCATATAAATTCATCCCATTCAAAATTAAATCTCCACATTAAGTCAAGACTCAAATGTTCCCAAATAATAATTGTCCTGAAAACAATTTTCTCATCATCCTTAAAGCTCTTGAAAGTTTTAAGCTACCTTCTTAAACCTCTAACCCATTTCACATCTTCTTTTACCCTAGATCTATGGTTTACTACAAAAGATCAAGTTCATTAAGTTCAAAATGTCTAACAAGTGTCCCTGACACATTCATTCTCCTCCTGTATTTCCATCCAGTCTCCATGGAAGAGGTAGGTCCTTAGTTATAGTTCTAGTTAATCTTTTCATTTGGACCGGAGCTTTCGCCTCTTCCCAACTCCTTAGAAGTCTTAACTACCAAAAATGCATCATCTCTTAAATCTTCAACCTTATCTTCTTTAATATTTATTTCTTCTCTACAAAGAATATTGCTCAAATCTCTCCTGCCTTTAAATACCCAAATACTTAACCTCATAACCTATCTAGGCACAATCCCTTCTCATCCACCCCCTTTGGGAACTTGATTCTTAGGAAGAGAATTATACATTCACATTCTACTTCTCTATTGCTTATTTATGCCTCTTTTCACTGTTTTTTGGCTTCTACTTCCACCACTTTACTCAACTGGTTATCACTAAGGATCATTCAAACCCACATATTGCAAAATTGTCATATTGCCTTACTGGGTTATACTGGGTTATGTGACACTGCTGACTACTCCTGGGAGTTCTCCTCTCATTTTTTTCTTTTGTTTCCTTAGATTTATTCTTACCTCTCCAACAACTCTTTCAGTCACCTTCATGGGATTCTTTTCTTCAATAAATCTTCAAGTGTATCATCCAAGGCTTTGTCCTATCACTTGGTTATTCTACAGACAACTTTTTGAGCGATCTTATCTGAAGCCATAGCCCAAAATGCCATTCACAAGCAGATTAATTCTCAAATCTCTAATCCTCTCTGTCAAATCCAGAACTAGGAAATTCTGAATTAGTACTGAGGAGTCTGCTTAGTGGACATGTCTTAGATGCTCCATGCCAAATAGGTCCTAAATTCAAAACACCTTTTCCCCAACACTTGCCCTGTATTGTTCTACATTCTCTCAGTAAACCCAGCAAACTAAGGCTTAAAAACTTGCAAGTTCTGCTAACCTTTTTCTTTCATTTCCTGATTCTTTCTATAAGTTCTACTTCCCAAATATCCTTGTATCTGTCGTAGTGGCCTCTGTCTTTTTATTTTGGGCCTTCATAAATTGTGATAAATCTCTAATTCATCCCCTTACCTCCAATCTCAATTTTCTATACCATTTCCCTGTTCAAAGTTCTCCAGTATAGCTTTACTAAGTAGAGAAAAATATTAAAAACTTTTAGGGAAGAAAGGAGGAAGGAAGGAATGGAGGGAGGGAGGAGGGAAGAAGGAAGGAGCAAAAAACAGGGCCTTGAAGATCACCTCCTTCCTAGCCTCCCTTTACTAGATTCATTGCCTCTATTCTCCCCCTCTGTACTTTATGATCTAGTGACACTGGATCACTTGCAGTTCCTCAAATAAACCATTCTATTTAACGCCTTTATGGTTTCACACACATCAATTCTGGAATGTTTTCCTCTTTCTATCTAACACCTACTACTTTAAAGCTCAGTTTATATGCACTATTCCAGGAAGTCACCTTTACACCAGAATAGATAACATTCCTTTATGTTTTTCTCTGACCTCTTTACTTAGAGTTAAGCACTTTTCTCTGTGGCCCATGAAAGCTTTTCTTTCCTAAAATATTTAACAATTGAATATAATTACTTGTATTCCTTCAAAACAGAGATGATATTCTGATCACCTTTGTAGACTTAATACCCTGAAATACTTTTTTCTTGATGAAAGACATTTAGGGTCATGTTCAAATTTCTGTTTCTTCCTACACAATACCAAATTGGTAAATCTGGATTTTATTAAATCTTACCCAAATGAACTCTTCACACATCCCTCCTTCAAAATAAAGATATTTTTACCTTTGTGAGAACTTGTGGCCCATAGATATCCATTCCTTCTCTATTAGAATCTTCATTTTTATACAAAAAGAAGATTTTTGCATTAGGAAAATCATAAAATAACAATACACACAAGAATATCAAAACATTTTGCTGAAATGAATGAGTTGATAAGAAAATAAAGTTAATTTCCAAAATGATAAGTATGTAACTTTGATTACAATTATAGGCATATATATAGGTTGCCTTCAAACTTCATATGCACTCAGGAGAAATTACATTGGATTTGTATCTAGTGTCACTTTTTTTGGCCTTTACGTGACACCATAATTAAATGTAATCATGTGCTTATGCACAATGTTAAACTCAACCCATAAAAAATAAGAATCCAAAGGCAGAATTTGAGTTTGTACTAAGAATGAAATAATTTTCAAAGGTTAAAAGAAAATTCTAGGCTAGGAGTGGTGGTACATGCCTGTAATCCCAGTTATGCAGAAGACTGAGGAAGGAGGATCATAATTTGGAGACCAACCTTAGCAACTTAATGAAATCCTGTCTCAAAATAGAAAATAAAAAGGGGTGGGGATATAGCACAGTGGTAAAGCACCCCTAGATTCAATCCCTAGTACTACATATACACACATGCAAAAAAAAAAAAAATGAGGATAAACCATGATTATCAGTTCTCTTTTTTAGGAAGATCAACAAAGTAGCATTGGCTTCAACACAAGAAAACAACCATGAGTCTGATGTTCACATAGATATGTTACAGAGGATGACCTTATTAGACAGTCCATTTTACTGTTAACCATTCAGCTTTACAAACTTTCTGAGCCTTTCCTATACTTTATAACAGCCTGTTGTATACAACTTAACTTCTAATGGGTAATGAAGTACATTAAATGCACAACAGAAAGTATACAGACTATATATGCTTTGTTTAGAGTAGCTAAACTAAAATATAGCTTTTTTTAATAGATTTAAAGCTCATTCTTGTAAAAAAATGGGACAAGTTAGTTGAGAGTTCTTTTATTAATTTATTCACAAACCGCTACTGACACAAAGTAAAATGCAATCACTGCTCTCTTACCATGAGTCCTTTGAATGTCCTATAAAATGGATCTAGAAGAATGCTGGCCACAGAGCAGACTTGTGCTGTGCGGTCCCACCCATCAGAACAATGGACTAAAACATTGGCCTTTTCTACTTTTACTGCCTGTGAAAACAGGGCAAAAAAAAAAATACAATAAACCACCTTTGCTTAGCATGCTGGACTAATAATAGGGCTGTCAATACTGTCCTGATAGCACAGAGACATTTATCTAACTGGGTTACATTAATTTCTTTACATAATATCAGAATCCTTTAGGGGGAATGAAAGAAAGAGTATATATATGAGAAGAAGGAAAGCTTACATAATAGGAAAATAAAATAAGAAAACAATACCTAATATGGGATAAAAGAAAAACAAGGGAAAACCTAAGTCCATAAAAATAAGTATCAATTCTCAGAGGAAGAGTGGGTAGAAGGAGAAATTCATGCTCAAAAACACAGGACAAATCCACATCCCAGTCCCAGATCTAATAAAGATTTCCTATAGCTATCTAGTCTTACTAACAAACCCTCCCAACTTAAGATAGAAGAGCTTGCCTGCCTTAGCTTGGTTTCTTTCCAATCAGAATAATGTAAAGACCTGAGCAATTTTGGCAATGGCAGATTTTGATTATTCATTTACTAATTCTAAGGCTTAATTATGTAACTGCATGTGCCAGGTAAGTACTATGTATTAGAGATACAAATATGATAATCAATTTCTACCTTTGAGGAGCCCACAAACTAGTCACAGTGCCCAAAGGTAAATAATTATAAGACACTGGAAAAACAACTGCTAGAGTGTAATGTGTGGTAAATATGTCCTTTTGCAGGAGCTGGGGGAACTTGAGCCTCAAAGAAAGAGTAGGACATCCTTAGGTGAAGAAGGAAAAATATACTAATTAATTCACGTATTCATTCATTTGCATATATATGTCAGTCGCTGCTCAACGTACAAGAGACACTACAGTGTGCACTAGGAATGCAAAGGAGACAAACTCTAGAACAAATTATTGCGAACTGGTGATAAATAAAACAATAAAATTCCATGACAGGTACAACAAAAGCACAAAAGATAAACAAAGAGAACAGATAACTAAAATGGATGTTTTCAGTTGAATAGGCATTTGCCAGACTGACTACAAGGAAAGGACATTCCATCAGGATAAAAAAATGACAGCAAATACGTATGCAAGGAGGCATGACATAGGTTAGGAACTCTTAAATAGCTGGTTACCATTAAGTTTGGGCTGGGAGTGAGGGAAAGATGAGAAACAGAGCTGGCCAAGAGGACAAGGATAAGATGAACAAATATGCATTTTATCTGGTGGCAAGAGGGAAACTATAAGGTTATGAAAGCAAAGAAGTATCATAATCAGATGTGCACTTTAAAAAGATCATTGTGGTAGCAGCAAGGAAAATGGCTTGGTAGAACACAAATTTGGATATAGGAAAAACAGTCGAGGAGCTGCTAAAATCATGAAAGGACCATGAGTTCCTGAAGTTAAAAAAAAAAAGAAGTAGCAGTGGGGCTTAAAAGGAGAAGGATGGAAAGTATAAAAATTTAACAGGATATACTGAGAAAATGAATATGAGATGAAGAAGGAAAAGTCAAGGATAACTCTAAAATGTACAGCTTAGTAACTAGATGGATAGCAGTACCATCATTCTATAAAATACATATATGTTAGAAGTTAGTTTTAGAGAGTAGTGAGGGTAAGTGAGATTTCAGTTTGGGCTATGGTGAGTCTGAGGTAGCAGAGAGAGAGAGAGAGAGAGAGAGAGAGAGAGAGAACGAGAAAGCGCCAATGGAGAGTACAGGGGACAACTGGATATTTAGGTCTGGAGTTGAGGAGAGGGAAGGATCTAAGCCAGAGTGTAGAATTGACCACTGTCTCAATTGATATGGTAATAGGAATTGTGTACATAGCTACTACTGTCCAGGTAAGGACCAAAAGTAAGAAAAGAAAAAAAAAAAAGCAGCAATGTTTAAAGGGCAAGAAGAGGAAGAATGGCTATGATAGGAGTTAGCCTGTACAGAAACAGCCTGAAAGGTATTAAGAGCAGGAAGGAATGGCTGGATTAAAGCCAAAAAAAGAGTTGGGGGTCGTCAAAAATATAAATGTGACAGAGGTCAAAATAGAATGAAGATTTAAATTTGATAAGTGAAGAGTCATTAGTATCCCTAGCAAGAATAATAGTAATGGGCATAGAAATTGGATCTTAGTGAGCTGAAAGATGAAAAAAGGTGAAGAAGTATTCATAGGGAAGGCTAAGCTAACTGTTTTCAAAATGGCTCTAAGAGGAAAGAGGGTACATTCTGGATCTAAAGTGTCCCCCAAAGGCCCATGTATTGAAGATTTGGTCCCAAGCCTGCGATGCTATTGGGAGGTGGGGCCTAATGGATGGAAATTAGGTCATTGGAGACATGCCTTTAACGAGGTATTGGTACCCCAGTCCCTTCTTGCATCTCTGCTTCCCAGCCACTATGAAGTAAACATCTTGCTCTATCATGTACTCTTTCCATGATGTAGTGCCTCATCACAGGCCCAAAAACAAGGTGGCCAAGTGATAATGGACTGATACCTCTGAAACTAAGCTAAAATAAACCTCTCCTCCTTAAAAGTTGATTATCTCAGGTATTTTGTAACAGTGAAAGAAAGCTAACACAGAGAGCAATTGCTAGAAGCAAGTATGATTATTTTTCTTTAAAAATAAAGAAAAATATTTGAACATACTTCTGAAGGAAGAAACTAGTCAAAAAGAACAGGTTGAAAATATAGCAGAAAGAGGGATTAATTGATAGAATTGGTTTCTTTAAAAAGTAGGAGAGGATGGGATTTATAATATAGGTAGCATATACACAGATTGGACATCAAGTCCTCTGTGATAGTCAGGAGAAAGACATTCAAAAATGTTAATAATGATAATGGGAAGATGAGGTATCACTTTGACTTTTCTGTGAACCAGGAGACATGTTTTAATATGTGCCTATAGAAAGTATAACCAGCTTGAAAGCAAGGTACAGATTGGCAACACCTGCTTGGTGCAACAGGACTAGGACCCAACCAGGAACACATACAACAACTGCTAAGTAGGCAACTATAGACTATAAACTTGAAATAGTACAAATTAAACCTGTAATAGTACAAATTAACATGTATAAAATTTATTTATTTGCAGCAATGCTCAGTAGTCAGAGTATAGGAAATTACTGAGGTAGCAAAGCAGTTAGAATAGAAGAATAAGGGACACGGTGGAATGGAGAAGTTTCTATACCAACAGGTCTTGGTAAATAGGGAAGAAAGTTAAAAAAGTGAAGTTAAAAGTATAGAGGTCTCAATGAGCTTGAAGAACCATGCTATCTAGAATAAATGTTTGAGAACTGGCATATAAAAACTTAAAGAAATATAAGTGCAGAGAGTTCAACAGTCTGCACATGAACCTTCAAATCTCCTGAATAAAGAGGGAGAGACAGGTGTTAAGGCCTTTCTCAAAGTCTTTAATGGAGGAGGGAGAGAAAGAAATGTACAAGGTAATATAGCTAAATGAAATAGATCAGAAAGGAAGAAACAGTTTTGTAAAGAGCAAGGAGAATACTAAACTTCCCCTAGGCCATTTAGTTTGTGGCATGTAGGAGAATGAGCAACTTTTGTAGTAACAGTGCAAGAAAAGTTGTTTTCCTGGAAGGGTAGTTAGGTTGTAAGAAAGGAGTTAAAGAAATCTGGAAACAGGCATCTCAGTCTTTTTAAATTTTTTAGTTCAGCAGAGACCTCCATCAGTATCAGAGGCCCAACAGTAGCAATTAAGCTCTTTTTAGGGATCCAAACAGAGTGAACAGTAGACAGGACAAGATGCTCTATTGCATTACTAATGATAGAAACACAAATTAAAACATGATATAAAATTGATCACCTATCACATATACAGAGATTAAAAAAGATTAATGATTACCATTGCTGGCAACATTGAAAAATGGGTATGGTACTACCTTTCCAGAGGCACTTGACCACACTTATTAGAATTTGAAATATTCATATTCTTTGACTAAGAAAATCTACTTCTAATAATATTCACATATGTAAGGATACATGTTTAAGGTTATATGGTGCAGCGATGTTTATATTAATGAAAAACTGAAAACAACAGAATTTTTTAATTAATGGAAGACCACTGTAAATTCCCACAATGGAATATATATAGTTTTTGGAAAAAAATGAGGTTGTATTGACTGACCTGATCTGAAAAATGTTCACTATTTTTAAAGATGAAAAGGCAATTACAGAACAGTATATACAGTATAGTCCTATTTTTACATATTAATAGTATATTTATGTATATTGAAAAACTCTATAGCTGTACTATCCAAAATGAAAGTCCCTAGTCATCTGTGAGTATTTCATTTGAATTTGTTAAAATTCATTTAAATAAAAAAAATTCAGTTCTTCAATTTCACTAGTCAAATTTCAAGTGCTTAGTTATCTTCTGTAGATAGTAGCTACTCTATTAGAACATACAGAGCATTCCCATCATCACAGAAATTTCAAATGAATAGTACCAATCAAGAGACATACATATTAAACTATTAATAGTGAAATGTGTGTTGTGGGAAAACAAATGGGAAATGTTTCCCTTTTGCTATGTATTTCTGAAATATCAACTACTTTATTAGTGTGCACATATTGCTTTTTTAATGAGAAAAAGTAAAGAAATATAAAGAAAAGAGAGAGAAAAGTGGCATAGTATATTAGAGAACAACAAGAAATCTAGCATAGCCAAGTTGGGAAAGATTGGATAGCAAACTACAGGCTTTAATAGGCAATAGAATAGAGAACCATTGGGGGATTTTCACCATAAAGTAACATAATCAGAAGTGTTGTAAATGACTTTCTAGATAATCTGAGGAGTAACTACTAAAGAAGTAAAGCAGTTAGGAAGTTATTATATTACTTTGGAAAGGTTAGTGAATGTGTTAGGTAAGGAACATATGTTAGAAGCATCTCTAATCTATAATGTTAATTGTAAAGAAAGGATAGATTTGAAACACTTTTGAAATAGAACTGATAGGAGTTGGCAATTGACAGATGGAGGAAAGAGGGAGAACTGAAGACTGATTGAAGTTTTAAAGCTTGGGATACTCTATAGGTGGTAAGGTTATAAGGAGCACAGAATAATTATGCAATCCCAAATCTAATTTTGGTCAACTCATTTTAATTCAACCAATAATTTAAGGTTGGACAATCGATCAAATTGCCCTCTCCACCATCATAATTTTCTTTTGTCTAATAAATTTGGTTTCAGACAGGGACTATAGATGTATGGTTGTAGGATATACGAAAAAGGAACAACATGAAGAATGTTTTGAATAGAGGGTTTGAAATAGCCAAAAGGGTCACATAGTAAATACTAACACATTACAATGAAAAGTGCAGGCAACAGAACTAGGAAAACAAAAAGTATTTAAGGCAGTTAATTATACACACACATATATTCATATTCATTCATTCATTCATTCATTCATTCTCTCCCTCTTTCTCCCTCTCTTTCTCTCCAAACCTTTTAAACCAAAAGACATACATCATTGCTTTCAACTGAGAAAATGACAGCAGTGGAGTGAAGAGTCATTTTCTCCTTTCCTTTACTTCTACCAAATAAAGAGGGGTGGGGTGAAGAGGGAAAGTTTTCAGATAGGAATATATAAAAGATAATTCAAAATGAGAAAATATATGCTTTGAATTTCCTTTTTTTAAAAAAAATCATCTTAAAAAGGCTGGGGTTCTGGAGGTCAGAAAATAAGTGGGTCAGCATAAATGTAGGGTAACAAAGCCTGCCTAGACTGCATTCAGAGGCAGACCTATACAAAAAGACGCCATAAAAATGTATGTATTCAGAGCTCTGAATACTCACAGATATGTAAGCTCTGCATTTATTTCACACTCACCCTTAACACAAAAACACATCAGAGAGTAATTGAGCTGGAGGGACTATTAAAGATTACCAAAGAATTTTAAACTGAGGTCTAGGTCTATGAACTCCCAGAAATTGAGGTCCACGTTTATATGTATAATTATATCTGCATTTTCCAGAGGGGGAGATGATCAATCTCATTCCCAAAATGTTCTGTGGGCCCCCCAAAAGTTACAGTAGATACTATAAAACCATTTTGTTTTATAGATGGAGAAGTGAGGCCCAGAGAGGGAAGAAACATGCCCAAGGGCAAACATTTGCAGAGCTGAATCTAGAAACTAGATTTCTTTTAATATTCTTTCCACCATGGCACACTACTACTTCAAGAGATCCCATAATTAAAGTCAGTGCAAATTATTAAAAGTCTTGATTATTACCTTTGTAATGAAAATTCCAGCATCCATAATAGCTTTAATGTGTCTCAACCACCCTGAGCTCTCCAGGCCACTAAGAAATTCACTCATTGTTGGAGTTTTCAATTCACAAACTAAGGTAGAAAAGGAAGCAGAGATTGAAATTGACAATCACCTCAGTTTATTCATCAAGAAAGGGAAGAAAGTGGATCCCCATTTTGTAAATGAGGAAGCTGAGGAACAGAGAGGTTAAATGATTATCTGGAAACCATACAGTTGAATCAGGAATAGGACTAGGGATAAAGTCTACCAGATTTCCCACCATGGGTCTCTGCTTTCCCTAGGTTTGGAACCTACCCTCAAACACTCAGAAATCTCTCAAGAAAGCCCAAAGTATGAGTCAATACCTACAGGAAAATACTAACATCTCCTTTTATTAAAAACACATTTGATCCCCATCCTAATCCCACCCACTCATCCTAATCCTATAGGCCCTTAACATCTGTCTCTACTCCTATACCTCCACCTACTTCTTTCAGCTCTGTGCTGTCTCAACAGGTTGCATGGAAGGGAACACATTAATTTTTGTGCACCTTTCACTAGTTATCCAGCAGAGGGCAACCTTTTGCTTCAAAATCTGTAAAACAAAGTTCCCTTCAATAGAATGTTCTGAGTCAAAATGAAAACAGGAGAGAAACAAGGAAAATGGATATTCAGTATTCTAAAAGGGACATAGACTGAGGAGACAGGATGTGATAAGGGTTGTATAGTGGAGAGGCCCTGGCATACTGTATCAGTACAAAACTGAAGAATATAAAGGAAGAACAGGTAGTTCAGTAAAGAAGGTAGGTTTTCATGATCTTTTCCTGAGTTGACATATCACATCATGGAATTCTGAGTAGTGGTTTAAGAAGAAATGTTCTAAACTCAAGAATCCTACAAGGCCCAACGAACCACCTCAATTCCCCTTTTGACACCAATTATTTTGCAGTGATGACAGATGGCCAAAATTGTCTGATATCAGCATTTTTTTCCCTTGGAGATCTAAATTCAACTTCTTCTTCAGCAATGATGATATCAAAGTGATTCCGTATAGATCATATGAGGTTACTTTTTTGCCTTGAGGACAATGAAATGAATTCCAAATTCATTCATGCTTATGTTGGTCTTGGGTAGACCCCTGAATACCAGCCTCTGTAATTCTATTGAGAAACGAGTTTTGAAATATCTCATTCCCCTTGCCAGACTAATACTGCTATAATTCAGTATTCTTTTAAGTTATGTCCATACTCTAGTTAAACATCTCATCACTTATTTACTCTGCTCACCTGCTGGCTTTTATGTTCCACCCCAAAACAGGAATGCTTTTTTTTTTGACATAATAGTGCCAAAGTATGGCCTCTGGCCTAGCCAAGGTGAAGTCCCTGTACCTTCCAAGAGTTTTTGCAGGCTGCTCCGCATCACATGAATGTTCTCAATGCCCATGAACCTGAAGCGAATGTTGGCATAGTTGTCTTCATTTTCATACCCCTTACCAGCTGCTCGGTTGGCCATGGCATTTAGCTGTAACAGTAGAGGGCATAACACAGCAGATAATGCCAAATGATGAAAGAGTGGGGTTCATCAATCTCAATACCTCATTCAAAACAGTTTTAAATCTTACATATTCTGGTATGGAGTGAATTTCACTATTTTTTAGACCAAGTACTTAGGTAACCCACTCACATACAGAAAGAGGAAAATTGAGGTTTTCTTGTATTACTAATATCCTACTTAAGAGATGAAGGATATGGCAATTATAAAGATATTTTATCTGAATAACTAAAATAATAATTTTGAGCTACCTATTACAAACAAGTATCTTCACAGCTGAAAGGACTTTAAAATGAGAAAAATGTAAAAGTTCACAACTTTACAAGTGAGAAGCTATAGAGATAACTCTATGAACCTCTGGGCTAATCAATTTTTGATAGCTATTCTAGAAAAGATATCAATAACGTGGCTGTATAAGAATGTTTGGCAGTAAATGAGATTTACAGAAAGGAAATATTCATACAGTCACTTGAAGTCAGACAATATACCTTCTATGATGATGACCATCTTACTGATTTTCTGTTGTTTGCCAGTTTTCTTATCTACTGCGTATTGAGCATTTCAAGAGGCAGGAAGCGCATATACATGGACAAGATGTGATTTTTGTATTCATGGATGAAATGCAAAAACATCACAGCAAAAACTATACACATTAGCAAATATAAAGGAAAAATGTGCAAAAGGCAGAAATGTGACAGTAATTTTGATCTTTTATCACTCTGGCAGTGTCACTGAGCTTTCATTAAATGACAGATGTCAAAGGAATACCTGTGGAAGACAAACAACAGCTGCCTAGTTGCAATGAATTTAGTTATAAGTGATTCTTCAACAAACAAAACAATGATTACAGCAGTTCCTATCCAGGTATGGGTAGGATACCTAATGCAAATAGCTAGAAACACTGTGCCAGTATATACTCTTTGGAAATATACCTGGCAGATTTGAAGAAGAGCGAGGTATTAACATATTGATGAAGAGATGTTTATATATATATATATATCACACATACACATGCACATATATGCACACACATGTGTACACACATATATATATTTATTTATACACACACATATAATGTGTGTGTGTGTGTGTGTGTGTGTATATATTTTTTTTTTTGGTACTATGGATTGAACCCAGGGACACTTAAACATTGAGCCACATCTCCAGTCCTTTTTACTTTTTTTATTTTTAGACAGGGTCTGTATAAATTACTTAGGGCCTCACTAATTTGCTAAGGCTGGCTCTGAGTTCCTGGTATGTGCAAGATGATGCTGTGCTAGATCTTTAAGTGCATTATCTCATTTGATTCTCAGTATAGCCTCTCATGGTAGGTACTATTATCATCACCATAAGAAAACAGGTCCAAACAAGTAAACCAATTTTCCTAGGATCATATGGATAAGAGTCAAAAGGCAGGAAGGATTTGACCCCAAGTTTGTCTGATTCCTAAGAATAATATTTTTTTTACTACATCTACTGAAATTATATATTTAGGCATCTAGAAGAGAGAGATTTCCAGATATCTCTAGATCTGTTATTGCTTCAATTTTCTGGGGATGAAGCTTGATGATAAAGCACTTGACTAACATGCACAATGCATGCCCTGGGTTCAATTCTCAATACATATCTTAATTTGCTTGAATTTGAGAGGAAAATGAGACCTGCTAAAAGGGACTTTCTGGTGCTAAATTTTAGCAAATCCTTCCAGTTTTCAAAAGCTTAGTGTGTTTCTTGTGTGTCTCCCTCTTGATAAAAGATACATATTTGATTTAGATCTTTCCAATATAATGTCAAACATTTATGACTGAAACAAGACAGCAAGCTTTTGAGAAACTGAAGGGTGGTGCCTGAGCAGACAGGGAAATTATTTTCTTTCTTGGGTCCAGTCAGTCCTAGGTAGCTCTGGAGAAAAGCCAGTGAGAGATCACAAAAATGGGACAAACAGTTGTCTAAGGTCACTATCTGGTTTCGTGCATGTCCAGTTGCTCAACTCTGAAGCCACAACCACCTGGCTTAGGCTTAGCTCTAAATCACTGATTTTGCAATCAGTAGGTTGTAATTAAATATCCTAATCAGGTACATTCCACACCTACAATTCTAAGCAAAATCATTTCTTTGGGGGTCTTTTTGTGAAAAGCACAACTTTTAAAAAAAGGGAATCTGTCCTTTACTTCTTTTATGGGGCACAATGAATTCTTGTATAAACTTTTACAGAACTAGACAAACTGTTGAAAGTCAGAGATTTAATGCAGAGAGGAGTTTAGGCTGATACTTAGGTTGATCTGAGGACCCCCTGTTCAGTGAAATTCACATTAGGGAAGAAGCCTGAGAAAACACAATGCAATAAGTCCACAGCACTGGGCTCTCAGGAAGATCAAAAGATTTTGCTAGGCCCGTGTCCACTGCCGAAATCCATGGTGAATCTGTGTCTCTGGTATTTTCTTACTCTATGGGACCAAGATTTAAACTGTACTTCATTGATTTGGGAAAAAAAATTCAGCTAATAGTGCTGTGTGCTAAAAAATTACTACCACATGAGCTGAATATTTTTGTTACTCCTATAGCAGTCTGTGAATCCTGCTTCTCTGGGGGATGCCAAAGTATCATTAATACTATTATTAAATACTATTATTAAATACTATTATTTCCCAATAACAATGAAAGTGTCAACATATGGGGAGGGGATTGCAAGCAGAAGGAATATCAAAGAAGTCATTGACAGATACCTTTGATCTTGCGTCTACAATGTAATATAATTTAATACATTATTTAGAGAAAGATATGTTGATATTACTAAGCCTCTAGTGTTTAAGTTGAAGTTCTTTCTCTGATAGTAAATTTAGACCATAGCAGGGGACTACTGAAAATTCTGGTTAAGGAATAGATTTAGTGAAAATGATGAGGAGATAGATGTCAATGAGTCTTCAACTCAGAATGTCAAATTGAGGTGACAATGCTAAGTTGTTCTAAGTAACTTCTCATAGCCTCATTTGACAGTGACAGGCTTATAAATGGAGCATCAATGGCCTGTGCAAGTGATTTTATGTAATATCTGACACAACAAACCCACACACACTAATTTAACTTTCCCAGTAACATTGCAAGTGTCAACATACGAGGAGGGGATTGCAAGTAGCAGGAATATCAAAGAAATCATTGACAGATACCTTTGGTCTTGTATCTACAACATACATAAACTGGCTCCCAGGGTTTGTTTGGCTAATGGCCTCTAGCAAGAGCTCATCATCTACACAGCGAGTATAAAATCCAGACAGAGGCTGGCTACAGCGGCAAATGGCAGCCTATAAGGAAAAAATGTGTTAGCCGAGTCATCACATCTACAGGTGATAAAAATTCTTCCTTGAATCTAAGTTTATGGAGTAGAATAAGAGAATAAGCCAACTTGGGTTAGTATCCACAGCAAAGAGATGTGGTTCTAAAGCCTAGCTTCCACTGATATTGAGCTAAGCCTCCTGCCTCCTCTTGGCATGTGGCTATTTCTCAACCCAGTCTTGGCAAATCAGACTACAAAAAAATCACATCTTGAGTGTTTCTTTAATAAAATCCTATTCTTGGTACATAATGGATTGGTAATTTTTCTCAAAATGCCCATTTTTTACAGTTCCAGTAAAATAATCCATATAAACTAGAGGCTTGAAGCAAGGGAATTCAAGATACAACAAAATCTACAGATTTAGAGAACAGGGTTCACTATTTGTAGGAGTTAATGCCAAAATCAGAGGGCTGGTATATTTCAACCATTTCAACAACAATAACAACAAAAACCAACATAGATATTTAATAGGGAATATCTGGTAATGATTAGTTAATCGACTTCATTATACTTTGGTGTAGTTTTGAAGGAGTCTGTGCATTTTGGAAGTTCCATAAAAAGACACCAATTGCATTAATGTACTCTTCTGCATTTCAGTAGTTGCCTATTTGAGGACTTAACTATTTGTCTAACCCTAGATCTCAAAGTGACCATAAAATGTAAGAATTATTACCACTTCCTACTTGAGGTGACTCAAACACAGAGGAGTCAAGTGGTTTCTTCTTACAACCTTAAATTACATGAAAAAGAATAATAAAGGATCAAGGATATCTATATTCTAGTGAGAAGCCACAGTTCCCAAATATATCTCATATAACTAGTTACCTTTTTTTCTGCAACATCTCACTAAGTTGGAACCCACAGAAAACAAACAAAAGAACAACAAAATACCACTCAACATATCCATGACATTTTACAATTTACAAAGTGCATATATATCCCCCCAAATGTGGCATCTTCAAAACTCTCAGAAATACTAAAGTTCAAAGAAGTTGGGTTTGAGGACACACAGCTATTAAGTGGCAGGGTGGGACTGAAACTAGGTCTTCCAGAGCAAAGTTTAGTTCCCATTATAGAAGTTTGCTTAACTCACATTGTTCTCTTTGTAGAGGTAGGAGAGCACAGGGACACGTTCTTTACTTCTGAACTTTGAACTTCCAACCACCGTTCCCAAGGTAACAGATTTAGGAACCACTATTTCAGGAGGGTAGGTACTGCATATCTAAAAGAAAATAAACTCAATACACACACACACACACACACACACATCTACACGTATATATATTTTAGAATGTTCACTTGCTATTAGCAGGCTGTAATTAGCATTCACTGAAGCATTAGCTGGCTGGGATTTACCATCCAGATTCATCCATTCCTCAGAAATAGGAACAAAAATATCCTAGCTATAAAAGTTTTTCCAAGTATGCTATTATTTTCCAGAAAGGAAAGTATAAACACATAAAAGAACAAAATCTACCTTTAGAAAAAACCAGAAAAATTATAGGCAAAAACACACATTCAACCCTACTCTGAAATTCTTACATTTGCCTATCAGAATAAATGATACAGATAATAAATACGTAAATTAAAACAAATAAGCTCAAATGTGAGGCAGACAGGTGGAGGAGGAGGAAATATTATTTACTCTTTCATAAACTGCATACTGAGTTCCTGGTATGCATATCTAAAGGGCCTTTAATATACTAATGTGGGGGTGGAGGTGTTGACATTTTAGGTGTGACTTATTCTATAAAGAGATTAACACGTTTTCTGAAATTTATTAGCTTTTAGTACTTAATTTTTTTCCAATCAGATATTATAATAGCACAGACTTAATGCAAAATTAACTCTGATCACTCCCCTAAGAACACTCCCAAATATTTAATAATAAATCTAAAAAAGACAAAAGTAATTTAAGGTAGATTAGATCAAGAATGCTCTACTCTCAGTGACCCCAAATACAGAATATTTGAAAAAGAAGTTGTTCTCTACCCATCCCTTTTACCTGTCAGACTTTTCAGAAGCAGGTCACACAAGGAGAAATAAATGAAGCTGCCCTTTTGGCTCAGAAGGCCATGCACATCCAAAGGGCCAAAATGGATATTTCAGACTTATTCGGGAGACTTACAAACATATTTGAACTGCACAGAATTCACCCATCTGTACTCATTCCTGTAAAGCATGGCCCAAATAAGCCACTTTGTAAATGCGTCTGCTAAGTGACAGCTCATCAGTTATCATTCCTAGTGAATACTTCAGAGTTGTGTTATCAGAAAACCATTACAATTAGAACTTTATTGTGATAATAAAATCTGGAAATAATTTAAAGATCCAACAATTTAGGGATATCACTTATATACCAATTATTCATAGAAGGCCTGACTGCCATCCTTAGAAAGTCTTCCTTGTAATATTAGCTTTTGGTTGGTGCCCGGAAACCTGGATTTTGGAAGGTTGTCCACCATTCCTTAACTGGTAAGAATGTCATCGTGCCTAAACTGTTTGTATGAACAATGTGATTTATGTAGAAAACATGTTTTCTGTTATGGTTTGGATGTGAGGAGTCCCCCAAAAGCTCAGATATTAGACAATGTAAGAAGGTTCAGAGGAGTAATGATTGGGTTGTGAGAGTTTAAACCCAATCAGTGAATTAATCCCCTGATAGGGATTGAGTGGTAACTGAAGTGGTAGGGTATGGCTGGATGAGGTGGGAATTGTGGTGGGGTTATGGGGTATATATTTTGTATCTGGAGTGTAGAGACTATTCCTCTCTGCTTCCTGAGCTCTTTTCCTCCACCACATTCTACTGTCATGATGTTCAGCCTCACCTTGAGCCCTGAGGAATGGAGCCAGCCTTTTATGGACTAAGACATTTAAAACTGTGAGCCTTCAAATAAACTCCTCCTCCTCTACAATTGTTCTGGTCAGATCCTTTAGTCACAGCAGCAAAAAACCTAACTAAAACACTTTCCTATTGGGCATCTGAAATTTTGGTCTACATGAAGGCAAATGCAAGCAGCCAACCAATAGAAATCTTGGGCAATGAAGCTCTAATGAGCTTCCCCGATACACATGTGTTATAATTTATTGTTGGAGTAAATTAAGTATATCTTATGTGACTCCACTGGGAAAAGACATTGAATGATTGTACTGTTTTCTCCATACTTCACCTTATGTTCCTTTTTCCTTTACTGATTTTACTTTGTATCTGTCACTATAATAAATCATAAAGTTCAAATATATGTTCAATCCTGTGAGTCCTTCTAATGGATCACAGAATCTGAGAAATGGTCATGGGAATCCCAAGTATAATCCTAGACCTCTATATTCAGCCCAGAGCTCTTTTTTCAGATACAGTCACAAAGCTTAATATCAAAAACTAGATATCTTTTGAATCAACCTTGAACTCAAGTAAAAATCTGAAGATGTGTGTGTCCCTCTTCTTGTTGTCCTCATTTTGGTTAACATAATCACTATCTGCTTGGTTACTAAAGCCAAAAATAAGGAATCTTGGATGCATACTAAACTCCCATTCCTTTTTTCAACCACATTTTTACTCGCACCAGATTCTTTCAATTCTACCACTTAAATATTTATCTTTTAAATTCTTCTCAATTTGTCTAATTGCCTTATTTCATGTTCTTATCATTTCATGTATTACCTTTTTGCATTCTTAGCCAGCAAGCCAATTCTCCACACTAATAACAATAATTCCTTTCTAAAATACAAATATATTTTCATGCTCCTTTCTATATTAAAATAATTCATGGCTCCCAACTTCATGATAATTAATGTTCATGATAATGTTCTTCTTCATGATAATGTTCAAATTTCTTAATTTAGCCATGAAGCCCCTCATGATCTGGTTTCCTTTTTAACCTCATTCCTTCTCCCCTTACATAAATTAGGATAAAGTTCCTTCACGAGGAAATACCCCAAAACATCAACCAACTTCTGGCTTCCCAGGTTGCTTTTCTTTTCCCTCATCTACATTCCCATAGCACCCCTGTGCTTTAGACCAGGAGATCTCTGACTTGATGCCTTGAGCACAGTATGAACCTAATAAATGCTAATTGAATGTTAAATGAAAAGGAGAGATTTTATAAGGGATTCCCTCTTTCTTTTTCAAAACTTCATTTGCTGATATTCTGCCATTTTAATTAAATGTACCTAAAGGAAAGCAAAAATCACAAATCACCTCATAGTTTCTGTTGGCATCTGTTATGGTCCAATACCGATTGGGTATTCCCATTCTCTCAAAGTCTGATATTGGGTCAATCAGTTTCCATCCATTTTCCCTCATCTCTTTTGATGATTTGGGATTATAAGAGAAAGCATAAAGATCTTCAGGTAATACTGGAGAAGAAAGCCATGGAAACAAAGTTACTATAAGTAAAACTGAAAGACCACCAAACAAGGCAAATAAAGATTACCTTTTCCCAAAAGGAATGTTTGTCAGTCCCAGAAAAGAACAGGACTTTGTGTACATGTTTGTCTTTATGCAAGGGATAAGAACTGACATATTGCTTTGGGTTCTTCTTTTAAAATGTTTTATTTTTTTGTCACCAGTAGAAAGTGAGAACTTTCTTTGGCTTACTATAAAAAAGAATGTTGAATAATAGACTGAATGAGGCTTTGGGTTTTCACATGTTAGGAAGGTAGTCCTTACCAAAAATTTTAACTGTTTGTAATTTCACGGTTTGTTTGACACATGCCACACAACATTAACAATTACACTGCATTCTACTTGTCAGGCCAACACCAACTTCTGCTGATAAGGGCCACTTCTCCCTGTCAGTTTTGCTTCCTCCCTTCACAAGATGGGACATGCAGTCAATACTTATTTGAGCAATTCAGGTGATAACATCTTTCCCAGAAATATCAGAGCCTATCAGAACTTTATTAATTGCTGGGTTGACTGGAAGGTTTTTCTATCAATAAAATATCAGCAAATACTGAGGAATTATTCTGAGGAAAAAGAGGAGAAAATGGGAGGTAAAACTTAAGAGCATGGGAATCCAAAAACTAAAAATCAGAGGAGGCCAATAGATTAACTGCCTAGGAGTGAGGGCTGAGAATGAAAGTGAAGCTGGAAAAAGTAATGAAAATGATATTTTAAGAACTATGATAAACAGCTCTAATCTTCCAGTTGGAATTGAAGGTAGGAGTAGGAATAGTGGGCCAAACATAAAGCCCAAAGGACAAAAGGAAATAAGACAATATCTATTAAACATCTACTATATACTAAGTGCACAGTAAAATGAATGAATGTATCTAAGCTTCAAAGCAACCACCTTAGGAGTTTTACTCCCCCTACTTTTATAGGTAGTAAGCTAAGTTCAGAGGTTATATAACTTGTCTACATACCACAGATCTGGTAATAGAGCCTGGATCTAAACTCTGACTAACTACACAGCCCATGATCTTTCTATCATGATTCTCTGGAAAAATTATTTTAAATAAAAATGCTATCATATACCTGGCTGAGAAAGCTTGAGTAGTGAAATATAAACCTCCTCACACACAAGGTCAGAGTCTAAAACAAAGTGGGCCACCCGGAAATTCTTACAGCGGAGGATCAGAGGACAGCCCATGCTAGTGATGGGCAACTTTTCCACAGTGGCAATGTGATGGAGTGCAATCTGCAAAACAGAAAAAGAAGCAAGATAAACATACAGATGTGTGCTAGCTCTATCATTATCAGTGTTCCTGACTCTCTGTAGTGATAATAGCATGGCCAGACATGTAATCAGATGGACAACCTACAACATCCTTTGCAAGACACAATGGAAGAATCTCAAACAGAAATAAAACATAATAATGGAAAAACAATGAGAAGCAAATAGCAGTGTTAGACAAATTCTCTAAACTCACTGATAAAAGATAAACAGGTTTATGGATTAGCTCAGCAGAGATAACTTCTCCATGTTACAGTGGAGTTTAAAAATCATAGAATAATTATCAGAAGAAAACAGAACTTCCTTTTTTTAAGTGTTCAAAATTTGAATTATTATTCATTTTATTTTTTCTGCATTTATTACTATTTGTTTAATTTGAAATTCTATTTTATTATATTTTAAATTTGTATTTATTTATTTATTTATTTATTTTAGTCATACATGACATTAGAATGTATTTGAACTTCCTTTTGTTCTAACAAATTACTAATTAAAATAGTGGTTAATAATCAGTATTGTGATTACTCACTAGGTTGCCCATGACTATTAGCTACTTAATCCCTATAAGAGCCCTTTGGGGTATAACCACCCTATTTTAGGAATAAAGAGATCAAGGCTCTAAGAAGTGAATCCTCATGAGAGTTCACACAGCCAAGAAGTAGCACAAATAGGATTTGAAACATGGAAATCTAACTCTAGTCATTCTGAAAACGCTAGATCTGGAATTAGGACATAATAAAAACATTAGGAAAAAAAATGTTCTCCCACATTTTAGACTCTAATGACAGAAAAGCAAAAATGTCAGATGAAGCCAGGTTCAGTGGCATGTGCACACCTGTAATCCTGGCAGCTCAGGAGGCTAAGGCAGAAGGATCTCGAGTTCAAAGCTAACCTCAAGTAAAAACGAGACACTAAGCAACTCAGTGAGACCCTTCTCTAAATAAAATATAAAATAGGACTGGGGATGTGGCTCAGTGGCCAAGTATCCCTGAGTTCAAACCCTGGTACACCCCTCCCCCCCCGCAAAAAATGTAAGATGATTGCTTTGGTTCAAAATAATGCCAGAAAAAAAAAAAAAAAAAAGGCATAGAGAGGGAAATGGTAAAAGAAACTGTCTAAATAATGTAATCCTCTCCTTATAAATCAAAAAAGCCACAGAAACATTTTTATCATTTGATGTTTTTCTCCATACATGTCTCTGATGTTTCCTGCAACTACAGACCCCAGATGTGCTCTTTCCATTCTCTGGACTACCTCTTTCCTGTGCCTACAATGGCCTCCCAATCAACAGTGATTTTTCTTTTCTTCACCCCAATTTTATTGGTAAGTCATCTCATTCATGAAATCTTCCAGTTATATCCACTGTCTAAGAATGGGGCAGGTGGGCTGGGGTTGTGGCTCAGTGGTAGAGTGCTCGCCTAGTACACTTGAGGCACTGAGTTCAATCCTCAGCACCACATAAAATGAAAATAAAGATATTGTGTCCACCTACAACTAAAAAATAAATATTTAAAAAATGGGGCAGGTATGGAGATCATTCACATATGCCTAAGAGGAATTTTAATATTTTGTCAAACTCAGTTCCTCCCATGACAGTTTTGAGGATACCTGAAAATCTCTTGATAATGTAATAGAATTTAATGTATTAAATTTCAAGAAAATCAAAGCCCTGACAGTCAATGTGGGAGACATGTATTTGGATGGTAAAACAATGATCACCAAGATCGGGGGCAAGGCAAACAACTGTGATAATGGATATACATATGAAATAATTATCTTAAAATTCTTTTTAAAAATACTGTGACTTTTTCCATATGAGGTTGTATCTTCCTCATTTTGCTGCAATGGGAGAGGAGTGGGGACAGAGACTAATTGGGCAGACTACGATTGGTAAGAACTTTATTAATAATACTGATTGGGTAAATAAGCCCCCTCTGACATGCAGAAATAAGTAACTTAAGTTCTCCCTTCTAGATCCTACCCACTGGGTTTGAAATACATGCCAGCAGGAACAAATTTTGAGACATTTAAACTGTCTATGAATGTAGGTGGACAAGAGATAAGCTCATGGCACAGTACTAAAGAGCTGTTTCCCAAAGTGTTAGAACTGGGAGAGTATTTACTAATTACATAATCTAACCACCTAATTTTACAGATGGGGAAAAAACTCAAAGAGGGAGAATCACTTATGTATGGTCACATCACCAATTAGCTTCAGATCCAGCTAGAATAAGCTCTCCAGATTCCACTTTTGGCATTTCTTTTATTGCAGCAAAATGAGGAAGATACAACCTCATATGGAGAAAGTCACAGTATTTTTAAAAAGAATTTTAAGATAATTATTTCATATGTATATCCTATTTAATTTATTTTCCACTCATATGCCAGTACTTATTATATCCTATGCTCTGTTTTAAGCACTTAAAAACATTAACTTTGTAGTTCTTATACCTTGAATTATCAATGTATTATTATTATTCCTATTTTGCATGTGAACAAGTTAATCACAAAAAAGTAACTTGCCCAAGGTTATAAAGGTAATAAATAACTAAGCTGGGATTTCAGCCTAAGCAGAGTGGCTCTAACGTCTGGGATCTTAATACTATGCCATATATATGAAACATGTTGTATTTGTTATAAATGAAGAGGTATAAGCATAAATCTAGCTAGTGACTAAGATTAAATTATGATGCTGCTTTAGGACAGGAAAATAATGTTAAGGGTACTAAAGTAGTTACAAAACACTAGTCAAAGAAAAACAAGAAACACACATGTACACTCTCACACACATGCAGATGAAATCCTGTCTTAGTACAGAGAGAGTTTACTTCAGTGCAGCCCAGGGTATATGCCATGGGGCCTAACCATTAGCATCATCTAAGAGCTTTTTATGAATCCAAATGCTCAAGGGCTCTCTAAGGGGTTGAGATTTTTTATTTTCCACAAGTCCCCAGATGACATGGATGCTGCTGGTTCTTGGACCCTGACTTTTATGCAGCAAGGCTTTCCATTATTTCAGGATACTTAGCAACTAAAAAAGTTCAGAAAACAAGCAGAAACTACTAAACCTAAAATAACTGAAATAAATCTCAGGAACACTCTCATGACTACACCCAATAACTTGAGGGAAGAGAAATCCTACAATTCAGGCTACAAAAAGACTCTTAGAACCTATTTTTGAAGAATAGTTTTCACAGCAATTCAACAATGCTGCTGAAATTTCAAGGAACTACCATACATGTATACATAACTCTTTGAGATCTTTTTATATTTCTTCTCAAACATACCCATGTTTCTTTCCTGGCTGTAGCAGAAGCCTCCACATAGATCAGGTGTGTTGCAGTAAGATACAGAATCCCATTAGCTGGTTTCTTACCCACATAACGATCCAATAACTTCACATTTTCTACCTGTTATTTGAGGGGAAAAAAATACCATTATCAACTCACTATCTGGGAGAATTCAGAACAAGATAAATGCTGTCAATTTGCTACAAAAAATACTTTGAGATTTTCCACTTCCTGCCAAGAAGATGAACTAGTATGATCTGTATTTCTTTTTCCTAAATCAGCCCAAGGAAATCTATAAAAGAGGGAAACATGAAATCTAAATAATATAAAAAATCTAGACAATGTTTACATGATGGGAAGGATATGGATGGAAAATAAATAGAATCTGAGAGCCTGCTGAAGTATTTATCTTGTTGGAGGAAAGGTTAAGTTATTTAATGTGTAGAAAAATCAAGAAGGGTACATAACTTGAGGATACATCTTAAGTTACTAAGCAAGAACAACATAAAACAGAAAGGAGAAAAAATGAAAAGAAAGCACTATAATTGACAGTATAAGATGAAATACCAAAAAAAAGGTCCAACATAAGAATAAGTATTAAATGTACCTGAATTAAACTAATTAAAAGACAGACTTACAGATTGGAATAAAGTAAGATTCAACAATATTCAGGCTAGAGAGACACACTGTAATATAAGAAGACACAAACAAATTGAAAATAATTTTTCAAAAGATACACCAGACAAATATGAACCAAAATGATGTTGAGGTAGAGCTCTCAACATATGACAAAATAAAATTTATGTGACAAAGAACAATAGGACAAGAAGATATATCCATTATACACATGTATACATTTTCCAATAGTTTCAAATATATCAAGCAACTAGTAGAACCAGAGAGAGAAAAGGAACAAGTACACTTGAATATTCTAATATTCTTCTATTTAGGAACTAATAGATCAAGCAATCATAAAAATCAAGTAGAGATAAGGAACACTTTTGCATTATCAATAAAAAAATTCCAGGTATTATATAGAGAGTAGAAGTACAAAAAATAAAGCATATAGAATCATTCAAAAAACAAATAGAATTTTCCCAAAAAAGACCATAATTATGGTTGTATAGGAAGACTCAATAAATTTCAAAGGTTCAATATATAATTCTATGTTTTCCAATCACAATGCAATAATATTAGAAATAACAAAATAGTAGTCAAAATTAGCATATGTTTGAAACAAAATGGCCCATTACTAAATTAAACTTGTGTTAAGATAAATCATAAAATAAATATTTTAAAGTGAATGAAAATAAAAACACAAATTAAAATTTGTGGGACAATTAAAGAGAGCTAAGAAGGCAATGTGTAGCTTTATATACATTTATAGTTTTATATATCAGTGTATAGCTTTATATATCATTAAATGAGAGAGGCTAAAAAAACTAGCTAAGAATTCAATGTAATGGAAATGGCAAAATAACAAGGAAGATGGATACTAATTAATAAGCAGAAAATCCTTTTTCACAGAGAAATGCATCAGAATTTGACTCTTTGAAAAAGTAAATAGATATTTTATAAAGATGAGAAGAGATTTAAATAAATAAAATACAGGATGAAAAAAGGAAAATAATATATAAAGTTTTAAGTGAGTATTATATACAATAGGCTAATAAATTGGAAAGATGACATGAAGTAAAAAAAAAATCCCCCCCAAAATAAAATGACAACGATAGTTAAAGATTTCTCCTACCAAAAAATAAAAAAAAACTACTCAGCCCAAGATATTATAGGTGAATTCTACCAAACTTCCAAGAAATAGTTAATTACTACCTTATCCAATTGATTCCAGTCACTAGAAAAAGAATGAAGTTTACTCAGTCCATTTCATGAGGGTAGTGTAATCTTGATTCTAAAATCAAATAAAGACAATTATAAGAAAAGAAACTTTAGGCCCATTTCACTTATGAAATGCAGATGCAAAAACAATTAGCACCATTTTTAGGGAAGATAATCATCTACTTAAAAATTCAAAATGAAAAATCAAACTATAGGAACTAATATGAACAGAGTTCAGTAAAAATATAAGATAGAAGATCAACCCACAAAAATCAACATTTTTCTATACCAGCAATGACCACTTAGAAAATATAATGAAAAATACTATTCACACTAGCAACAAAACCTATACAGAAACTTTAAATTTTACCAAGCATATACAAGATCTTTACAGAAAAAATCTTAACTCTAGAGTTAACTCCCTAATAAAAGATGTAGAAAATAATCTAAAGAGATTGCTATGGTTTAAATATGTTCCCCAAATTTCATGCATTGGAATGTTAATCCCCAAAGTCATATGCTAATGGAGTTTAAGAGGTACAACATTTGAGAAGGGATTAGGTCATGAGGGCTCTGTTCTCACGAATTAATTAATGTATGTATTCAGATTAATGGATTTATCCAATTGATTCCAGTCACTAGAGTTATCAAGGGAACAGTTTTTGTTATCAGTGCAAGCTTTCTGTGGCCAGCTTGCTACATTTCTAATGTGATACTTTCTAATCAGGCCAAGCAGGAAGGCCCTTGGTAGATGATAAACAGATATTAGTAACGTGTTTTTGGATTTCCTAGCATCCAGAACTTTGAGAAATTAATTTTCTTTATAAATTACCCAGTATCAAGTATTCTGTTATAGCAACAAAGAAAATGAACTAAGACAGAAATGAAGACATCTTTGTTGTTATATGGGACAACTTCATATTACAAAGATGGCAATTATCCCTCAAACTAACCTATAAATTCAACCCAGTCTCAATCAAATTCAAAGTGGATTTTCCAGCAAACTTATACTAAATCCAAACAGAAAAATAAGCCCCACAAATAACTAAATCAAAATTTTAAAAAAAGAAGACTAGACAGAGGAAGATTTGTTCTACTAGGTATCAAAATTTACTCAAAGCTGTAGGAACAAATAAAAACTCATAGTACTACCACAAAAACAGAAAAAGAGACAAATGGGGGAAAACACAGCTGAAAGGCAAACTCATATATAGATGGGAGCCTAATACAGCATAAATATAGCACTGTAAATTGATGGACAAAATATAAGATATGTACTAAATATGCTGGAGGAAACAGTATCATTACATAAAGACAGAATCATAACCCTATGTAACACAATATACAAAAGTGCACCCTAGATGTGACTATATATAAGAGGTAAAACTATAAAGTTTCTATGAAAATACTACAGAATACCTTGGATCTATGGGCAGTGAAAGACTTTTTAAAAGTTAATAACAGTATGGGAGAAAGTATGTGCAACATTTAAAATGAATAAGGAACTACTATTTAGAATATAGAATTGACTCCTACAACTCAAGAAGAAAAGAAGGCACTAACAGAAAAATATACAAAGCATAAGAGTAGGCAAGTTACATGAAAGAAAAGCCCAGATGTATGCAACCATGAAGAGATGACAAAACCTTTTTTAATAAAAGAAATGAAAATTAAAATGAGATATTAGTTTAGTTCTATAACAGAAAAAATTAGAAATCTAGAAAATGCGACATGTTGGTAGTGTTTCAGGGACACAGAAACTTCATCCACTACAGCTGAGGTGCATCCACTCAGGAAGGGAATCTGCCATTACTTAACATAAAAATTACTTATTAATTCTATTCCTGAAAATGATCCTGAAAAAATATTCATATAGGTCCATAAGAGGAAATGTACAGATGAAAACGTTCAAATTTTGAGAACAGGCAGGTTAGAAATGGAAGAATATTATGCAACAATAGTGCTAATAAGAAGCAATGGGCTATGGTGGGCACAGTGGCACACGCCTGTAATCCCAGTGGCTTGGGAGGCTGAGACAGGAGAATCACAAGCTCAAAGCCAGCCTCAGCAACTTCTCAGCAACTTTGAGGCACTAAGCAACCTCAATGAGACCCTGTCTCTAAAAATAGGGCTGGATATGTGGCTCAGTGGTCGAGTACCCCAGAATTCAATCCCCGGTACCAGAGAGAGAGAGAGAGAGAGAAAGAGAGAGAGAGAGAGAGAGAGAGAAAAGCAATTGGCTATAGATACATATAACATGGATACATGGATGGGTAAAAGAAAATATGTATAATTTAGGGAAAAAGTAAGAAACAATATATAATGAAGATATCAATACAAACATTGTTTTAAAGGACACATTCAAATATAAACAATCACATCAATTACATTAGAATGTTTGTGTATGACGGGGAAGAAAATGTTGGAAAGAGGCTAAGTAAATAAATAAAAATGCTAGATATCCTTGCATAGATCAATAATAATTATGTGCCAGGAACTGAGGAACAGGTGATGAACTCAATATTATACAACGAAGATTATAAAAACAGAAGCAAACATACAAGCCCCCTTTCCTTAAACAAAACAAAACATGGGAAATAATCTTAGATACTTAAAAAGGTGATTTATAATGTTGGCCTCTTTATCTCATCTGTACCCAGGGTAAAACTTAGGATTCTAACATGCCCTTTGGCATCATGACTCTCATTTACAAAGGGAGGAAAGAAGAAATGAGTGAGATCACACTGAATGCAAAACCCTCAGTCAAATGCTTTTTTTTTTCATTTTTGCATATTCACATTCAGGCATCATTAGCTCGAAGTATATCAGTATAACAAATTACTATGCAGGAAAATTGCATATGGCTGAAAAGGATGACAATAATGATTTATCACCTCTTTTCCTGGAGACATTTAAGTAAAGTAAACCCATATATTTACTGAGGCTTTTTCTTAATCCTCTTCATGTGTCCCAATAAAAACATCATAAATATGTTTTATTGTGTGTTCTTATATACACCACATATACACATACTGTGTGTGTGTGTGTGTGTGTATGGAAATATTATCAAGACCACTGCTATAATTTGAATATGAAATGTCTCCCAAAGGCCCATGATCATGTGAGCCCTGGTAAAGCTCACAATAGCATTAGATCTTGTTATTAACCATATGATAATGGTTTTGTATTCATACAAGATGCAAGAGTACTGGGGTCATGGAGGTTTCCACTGATACTTCAAAGGAAAGACTGTGAAGCCAGATTGTGTGTAGCAGGATTAGAGT